CTTGATGAAAATCACACTGAATTATTTTTGTTTCATCCAGTACAGATATAATTTTCATTATATAAGAAAATCTTTATTAAAAATAAAGAGTTTCCTCTAATTGGGCATATATTTTCAGTGCAGCATGCCTTATTAGGACTATGGGTTGGATAAAGGCTTAAATATATTTAAAAGTAACTCCACTAAAAATTATACATAACTTATTTCACTATCTTAAATTATACCTACACCATTTAATCAGGTTTTGTTATTCTTAGCCATGGAACCTCTTCTGAAGGTTCTTGATTAAAATACATAAACTACATTTGCACTGCATGCTTAGTTTTGGTTAACTCAATCATGTCTGATTAAGTAATCCACTTTTTGAGGTTCAATATTCACACACTGAATCATACACAGACTGAGTTTGTTCAACATGAGGCTAAAATATGATTAATGGATTTGTATTGTAAAGACATAAAGTGATACAGTAGCTTTTGAATTGGATTACCAATAAATCCTCTGCCCGAGAGTAATGCTGTTTCTGGTTATATTTATTTCTTTGATTGCTTGCTTTAATACATACACTAGAGAGAAGCAAAAAAGAAAAAAGGAAAGGGAATGCACATGTGAACAGACAAAAGGAAAAAAAAGGAAACAACAAAAAGTTATACTACATACAAAAGAAGTCATTTAGCCTAACTGTAGTTTTTCAACATTTATTAGACCTCAGCTGTACAGAATAATGTTCAATATTCTACTGAGGAGGTGGGGCAAGAGGGGAAAATGCTAGATTATTTTCATAAGAAAAATACCCTTTATTCAAGAGGTAGTCATCCAGTTGAATATTGGGTAAGAAGAACTGAACCAGAATTGGTGAGGTCACCTCACTGGATTCCTTTAAGTGGAAGATAGACAACTACCTATTAACAATGCTTCAATCTGGATTCCCCTCCCCCCCCAAAAGTTAACTGCAAAATTTCCTGTAGTTTTGGAGTGCAAAACACGATACAACTTATTATAACCACTATGTGTCATATTAAAAATAAATATATACCCCTAAAGTATATGATGCAGCTCCAGCCACTTCGGGTTCTTCCTTAATTAAAATTATATGTAAGCCACATCCATCCTGAAATTGCTTTTGAAAAGTAACTCACTCTTCTCCAGATGCTTTCCATGATCTCTTCCCATTGCACATGTGAGATAATCAATACTGAAGTCTAAGATTTCTAGAGATGTTGTTCCTAAGCAATCAACATAACTCAGAATATTCACAAGTTGGAAATAGAGAGAAGCTTTCACATCAAAGAGGAATAGTATTCTTTCTTCCCCATTCCTCCCAAATAACCAAAATTATAAGAAACTCAATAATGGCCTCAACCTATCGTACAAGATTTACTGGTTGACAAGAACTCTATATTGCTAAGATCAACACAATTTATAATCCACTCCAATCTTGGTAGAACGGTGAAGAAATAACAGCAAAGAACAAAGAAAATGAAAGTTACTTAACAAAATACATAATGCTGACAAAATCCTATGCTGACTCCCAAAATAATCTTGGAATAAAGATGCAAAGAAGATTTTATGAGCAAACTGCTAAAGGGGAATAAGTGTTTACTTACTTATTAAATTTACAATATATCCCACTTATTTTATTTTTATCTCATCTTTATTACCTTATAAGTACTTCAAGGTGGCAAACATAAAAAAATGCCCCTTCCGCCTCCTATTTTTCCCACAATAACTTTTTAGGTGAGTTGGGCGAAGAGAGAGTAATTGGCCTAAATTGGCTTTCATGTCAAAAATGAGACTAGAACTCACAGTCTCCTGGTTTCTAGCTTGTGCCTTAACCACTAGCCCACACTGGCATACTCTTTTCTTCCATTTTTCTCCATAACAACCCTGGGAAGTAGGTTGGGTAGAGAAAAAGTTACTGGACCAAAATCTGTCATTGAGCTTCTGTGGACTTGGCTTACCACAATCCTACTCTAACACTTTAATTAACGGATCATGTTGGCTCTCAGTTTAACAATGTTTACGTTCCTAAAACACTTTACCAGAAATAAGACAGATTTATCAGCTGACTTGCAGGAGAACAAAGAAAATCTACAGGGAAAGCAATCAATAGCATAGTGGTGGTCCTCACGTTATGACTACTTGCCTTTTATGGTTGTAAGTTGTGATGGTCATAAATCTGATCATCCATGTGACCAACCTGATTTTATGATCATTTTGGCAGTGATAATTAAACACAGTGGTTATAAAGCAAACGAGGCAATCATTAACTGAATCAATAGTTTGCTATGGATTCATTTAGCCAAAAACTGGAACTAAATGCCAGTTTTCAGCAAAACTATCATAAAACATGGTCATGTGACCACGGAATATTTTAAATAGTTGTAAATGGAGGTTGGTTGCTGAGTGTCTGATGTGCAGTCATATGACTGCAGGGGGAAGGGGAACTATCGGAACTTTGAATCCAGGTTCTAAGTAACCCCAGAGAGGTCCATCTTAACTTTGAATAGTCATTAATAGGAGCAAAGATTGCTCAACAATTATGGAATCCTGAGTGGCTGTTACAGAGGGAGTAGAATGGAATTTTTAAAAGAGGATAATTGAATGGAAATAGCTTACTATATAATATTTTACTGCAACATAACCCTAACCCTAACCCTAACCCCTAGTTAAATATCTGGACAGAAACAACGTAACACATGTGATCAAGCTATGCCAACTTGTTAACTCTTATTTCAATTTGTCAATTCACCTCATGTAATTGTTATCTGAAAGTAGAACTGTTCAAGTTTGTATCAAAATTTCAAATTCACCTTTTTCCAAAATAAAACAAAAGTATATTCTCCTTTTTACACAAAAGAGACATTTTCACAACCATTAAAAAAATAAAGCAAGAAGCTATATCAGATTCATTTTACATTTCAAGACTGTGTCAAATAGTTTTTAGAAAATATAAAGAATTTATACTTATTATCATTTAAAGTGATCTAGGTATAAAAATATTTGAAAATGGAAATGCCAATATTTGAATATATGATAGAAAATAAAAAATTTAAATATAAACATCCATGGTGGAAGAAATTTATCTCAGGATACAATTCATACTGACATTTTTATTACTTTTAATAAAACAAGTTAATGCATTTTTCAAGCATGATGCCTAATTGTTATCATCACAAGAAAAGTATTACATCCATCCGTAATGCAATCTAATTTGAATTAAGATGAAATCACACAGCAGAAATTTGAAGCTTTGCAAACTAAAAATAATCCAACCAGCAGTATTTTCAGCCCTATTGCTACTATCCTATTTTTAAAAACAAAGAAAGCTTGCTTAAAATGTCCAATTACACAACTCCTGTTTGCTGCAACTCCCAATTAAGCTTTCAAACATATTTTTTGAAATAAATTCTAAAGGCTCATTTTACCTGGAAACAGAGAAGGGGGGAATAAAAAAATGTTTTTGTTGCTGTTAAATTGATTTTCCCCCTCTCCTCCAACTAAAGAGGATGCTGGGAAATATACAGGTCTTTTAAAGAGGGCACTTAACAGGGGTTTCAAACTCACATCATCACAGCAGCATCACATGACATATTGGGACTTTCCCCTCCTTCACTAAACTGGGTGTGGGTGTGGCCAGTGCATGACGCATCCAGCCTCTGTGCCGCGAGTTTGACAGCCATGCTCTAGTGATAATTTCTTTGGTCTTTTGAAGAATGTTAATTATGCCTCAAACTTTCTTTGGTAAAAAACAAATATGTCTGTTTTCAATCTGATGCCCTCCAGATAGGGTGGAACTATTATTCCCTTCACTTTATTATTCTCTTAACCTGGAGCCATTCTACGGTAGCCGGGAAAATAAATGGAGCCATAGTGCAACTGATCTGGAAGTAGCAGGGCAATGCTAGATAGTGATAGAATAGAATACTTTGTTGGCCAAGTGTGATTGGACACACAAGGAATTTGTCTTGGTGTAAATACCCTCAGTATACATAAAAGAAAAGATACATTCGTTAAGAATCAAGAATCATAACGTACAACACTTAATGATCATAGGAGAGCAAGCACAGCATGCCTGAAATGTACCACATTGGGAAGACTAGAATAGGAAATTATTGTTCAGTCAGTACGCATTGAGGTCAACCAGCAGACCATCTGGTGAAATATATAATTAATTAACATACGGTTATTTTCCTCTTTCGCCTAAGAAAATTAAGCTTTAATCTTTACTTATACTTTACTCCTCCTCTTTTGTGTAAGACAAAGAAAGTAAGGTAGCAGTTTTACCTCTCAAAAATGGTTAGTGCTCTGAATTCAGAGTATACGTGCCAGGACTTCACATTCACTACATGTTGTTATATATTTACATATTTGAGATATTTTTTTTTTATATATTTGATATATTTTCTTCCAGATGATCTATCCTGCTAAAGGTTACTCAAGACACTCTATCCAAGTTATCCATGCTACCAAAGATAATCAAAGTATTGATCAGGCTTTCAGCGGTACCAAACAATAGTATAGTAGTAGCATAATTTATTTGCAGAGCTAAACAGACACCCATTTATGCCTTCTTCAGGTGAAGCATTTTAAAAGGGACATTTTTATTCAAAACCTGCCTAAGCCTGTTTATTCCCTCCACCATCTCCTCCCACATGCAGTGATTTAACTTAAGACTTTTTTTAAAAAAAATTACGGGACCGTTTTCCCTAGAAAAGGATACACAATCACTGAGTCTGAAATGTGCAGAAGCCATCACTGGCATCGAAAACATCCAGCCTTGCGCAACTGTGTTTTCTTTCCCACCCGAAGGCATCCTTGCCTGGAACCGAGTCAAAGCTCGGGCAGCTCCTCTCCTCTTTCGCCACCCTGCCAAACATCCACGAAGGGCGGGAGGAAGAGCGAGCCCGGAGGCTCGGGGGGGGGGGGACGGGACCGGACCCGGGTCTAAAGCCCAAGGAAGCGCCCTTCGGCCGACCGCGCCATGGCGGTCCAATTACCTGCGCGGCCATGAAGGAGAGGTCCATGGTGCTGTTGGGCTCAGAGCTGCTGCTGCTGCTACTGGTGGTGGTCGAGACGATGGTAAAGCTGGTAGTGAGGCCGCTATCACCGCCGGCCGGCCCGGACGCCTCTTTGGGTTGCTGGGGAGTGGCCTCCTGCAGGACCAACTTGGGGCGCGTTACCAATTCCAGCTCACTGGGATGGCGGCGGCAGTGCCGTCGTGGCTGCCCGGCTGCAATCAGCTTTCTGGGAACATAGTCAGCCGAGAAGCTTGCCAGGCGAGACAGGCGACGGCACCAGCGGCCGCAGGATCGACGCCGAGGCTCCAGTCTCGGCGAGGAAACAGACGCGCGTGGAGTCACCTGCCCGCCTTGGTCACGCCCCTCCCCACGGAGGCTCAGGGTGCGGAAGAGCCGAGAGAAAGCTCCTTCCAGGGAGGCTGCGAGGAAGACAATGGGGAAGGGGGGGGGAATTAGCCGCGAGGTGGCTTCTGCCCACCACCTACTGATTGATGTAGTCGTGAGTCTCCCCCGCCCCCGGAAGGACGCTTCCTTTCTGGTAGCAGACGGCTCGTCTGGGACGCCCGAGTGAAATTATCTATGGTCGTCGGATACAAGACCGTGTTTTGTTTTGATCTAATAAGCGACTTAGTCAACTGAAAGTCAGGCACATTACCTTTAACAGGTGTCAGCCGCTCCTACTTGTTCAAGCGGGTAGCATCTTTCCTGGGAATAAAGTTCATACTTAGGGAATTGCTGCACAGTCCGATATGGGAAGAGTACGTTTTCTTCTGGTTGAACAAATCTGACAGATTTAATCCAAATGAAGTCAAGTCTTTCATATACTGAACTGGAACGAATGATTTAGGAAACTTAGGTACTGTGATAAGTGTATCTATTTTATGACTCAAATCTCATGAAAGAAAGGGATGTTTTCTTTTGAAGTAAGGAAAGGCAGTAACAAGCACCGATTATCTTGGAATGTCTTTGAAGCGCTGGGAATTATCACACTTTTTGGAATGCTTTTGAAATGTTAGATACCGGGTAAGGGAAGTGTCTGGTACCATAAAAGATGATAAAATGTAACTTGTATCCTGAAAAATAGATTGTAAATCAAGCCATTTGTATACTGGGGGGGGGGGGGGGGTCAATTTTAGGGTATAAAAATAGAGCCTTTAAGCTTTGTCTTTCGTTCTTCCCAGCTGCCAAAGGGAGGAACCCATCTGCGCAGATGTATATTCCAATAAAGCTTTTTTCCTTGGATCAACTTTGAATCCTGGTGGTTTTTCTTTACCCACCATCTCACAGTACCCAATGGCGAACGAGGTACCCAATTCTACACTAGAAAGAAATAGCGGTTGTGGTCATTAACCACCATAAGGGAATTGATATTCGGATGTCCAAAACCAAATTGACAATATCAGGATAATTAGGAAAGGTACATACCAACAAAGAATTTTGGCTAAAAGACAATACACATTCAATCAAAATACGCTACGAAATGGAACAAAGGAGAAATATATATGAACATTAGCAATCCAGATAATATAAACTTTGAAATAGCAATACAAATATATTGTAATAAAACAATAAAATTGCCCCAAATGGTTTTAAAATGTATAAATTTCTCTTACAGATCCCTGTCAAACCTGAAAAAATATAATAACGCATGGCATGTACACACCAAAGCATAAAGTTAAAAAATAGCCAATGCTCCAATTCTGACCTGAGTTGTTTGTGATTATCTGTACTCAGGTAGGCTCAACTGTTCTTAATTATTCTTTGCCTGATTTTTTTTCATCTGCCATGCAAAATCTGTCAACGTGTTATTTCAGGGTTGATGTTGGGAAGCAGAAATAGCTTACAGTGTTGATTGTTGTGTCCTGTTTTGCTGGTCAGGAGTGTGGCATTTTGGGCATTTCAAGATTTTATATAAAATTGGCAATACAGAACTATCATACAGATGTTTGATGGTTTCTGCCTGTCCTGAATCACAAGGACATGATCATAATGAATATAGTGTCTTTTTGTATCTTCCAGTCATAAGTCCTGAAGGAAGAATGTTTCCAAAGTACCAGAAGGCAAATCAAGAAGCAATGGATGGAAACTAATCAAGGAGACAACCAACCTAGAACTACGGAGAAATTTCCTAACAGAACAATTAACCAGTGGAATGACTTGCCTTCAGAAGTTGTAGATGCTTCATCACTGGATGTTTTTAAGAAGAAATTGGACAACAATTTGTCCAGAATGGTATAGGGTCTCCTGCTTGATCAAGGGGTTAAACTAGAAGACCTCCAAAGTGCCTTCCAACTCTGTTAAGCTGTTATATTTTAGCCTGCTTTCATTTTTGTAATGTAGCTCTCGAAGTTGGAGGTTCCCTCGCTTCTAGATCATCTATAAGCAGCTTCTGAGTGTTTGGCTACCCCTTTCTCATTATATGATTAGCAGCTTCATCAGTGCTGAGAGGGTCAGTACGCATGCAGGATTGATTAGGAAGGCCTAGGTTATTGTCAGCCTTTTAAAGAAATTTTAAGAATAAAAACTGAGAAGTGAAATAGTAGCTTTTCTCTAAATAGGTAGGGTGATAGTTCATTATTACATATCAAATTAGTTTGTATATCAGAATCCAAATCTGGGTCAATATCGGAGGTGAGAGAAAATCCATACTGCTTTAATTCTTGAATCTTGTAGGTGTGAGTTTATAGGGCAGGCCTGTCAAAGTGGCAGCCTGCAGGCTGGATAAGTCACATGCAGGCCACGCCCAGCCCGGCTCTGCAAAGGCAAAATACGTCGCAACACGTCATGATCTGGCCTGTGACATGATCAAGTTTGACACCTGTGGCAGAGGGATAATTTCACCTTCTTGGAACTGCATTGAACATGAATGTTGGGAAATTATACTCTCCTCTAAGTTGTTGTCCAGTAATAAGTCTGACTGAGGGATAAGAGATGTCAACGAGACGTTTGTTTTAAAATCAGGAGTCTATTCTGAAGATCTGTTAATTGAGCATAACAATGAGTCACTGGAGGAGAGAAAAATTATCTCTACACTGAAGCATTGGTTTCTGTAGTAATTATCTTCTAGATAGAAGACTGTAGCCTGAAGCAAGTGAGGAGAGTGCAGCTGAATCAGGCTGGATTGGGGCATCTTTAAAAATTCTGCAAGAGAAAACACTATTTTTGTTGGATAGTCTGCCATTCTAAACATCTTCTGTACATTGCATGATTTATGAACAAGATTCTTTTAAACCCTAGTAAACTAGGCAGACAGTGAAATGAATTGAGATCTATGTGCTTGGGATGATAGTTTAGAAGCTTGCTTAGCAGATTTATTACCGCTTTCCTATACGCGAAATTCCTAGCCAACAAGCTATTTGAAGGGATAAACACCAGAGCCCGATTCTTTGAAGCACTCAAGTTTTATTTCCAGACTGTTTTTAGTAGAGCATTTCCCATTGTTAGATGTTGTGACATGGCAACTACTAGCACCAGGCATTGTTAGAGCTTGAATGAGCTTATCAAGCTTAAATTTGATGTCGTTTAGAAAAAATAATTTTTGTGCAGCCTCTCCCTTCTGTTCCCTGCAATATAGTATGGCTGATGGCAACTAGAATTATATCAAACCTTGCTGGGCAATATCGATTTGGGCAAGTGTTGTCTTTCTCAGCCTAATTTGGAGGGGATGTGGAGTCTTCTTTCTCAAGATAACAAGCTTGTTTTTAGGAAAGGGGTATTTACAGCACTGTGAGAAATATGGTGGGCTAGGAAAGTTATAATTTGTTTGTTCCTACCTTGGTTTGCTGTTTCCCCACCTTTTTGTGGATTGATAAATACTATTTGGGCTTTTTCTCAGTCTTTTCTTCTTAGTTCTAGATCAGTGGTGATGAACCTATAGCAAGCGTGCCAGGGGTGGCACGCAGAGCCCTCTTTGTGGGCACATGCACCATCGCCCCAGCCCAGCTCCATTGTGTTTCTCCATCACATTTCTCGTCATTGTTTGCAGGACTAAAAAAATGCACAAAACAAAATTCCGCGTTTGTGGCAGTGCACTTGCTGTTGCTGCCTCTATGACCTGCCCCTTGCACAGCACAGTGAAATTTAGCATGCTTCACAATGGGGGAGATGGGGTCCCATCCTCCTCCTGGAGCCCATTGTGACCCTGCTCATTCTCGCCTCCCAGATGTCAGTTGTTTTTCCTGCAGAGTTGCTTGTGTTTGGGTGCCCTGCCTCCCCACTGGCCAGCTGAGCTTCATCACACTGCTCCTGGGCTCTTTGGCCTCCAGGCATCAGAGTACCACCACCCAGCAGCAGTTCAGGGGTTCCTTCCTCCCCCAGGGAGAAAGGGGGGAAAGAGGGAGGGAAAGAGAGAGAAAGAGAGGAAGAGAGAGAGAAAGAGAGGGAGGGGAAGAGAGAGAGAAAGGGAGGGAGAGGGAGGGAAAGAGAGAGAAACAGAGAGAGGCAGAGAGATAGAGGGAGGGAAAGAGAGAGGGAGAAAAAGAGAGAGAAACAGAGAGAGGAAGGGAAAGAGAGAGAAAGAAAGAGGGGAAAGAGACACGGGGAGGGAAAGAAAGAGGGAGGGAAAGAGAAATGATATTACAACGTTTTTCTTTTTTATTGTTGCTAAATGTAATATTTCAAAAGCAGAAAAAAATGAAGGGGCATAAAAGTGCATTTATTACATTTTTCATAGAACAATTAGCTGAACTCTGCATTGTTTATCATTATTTTAGGTAGTAAAACCTCATTATTCAGGTTAAATTGCCGTGTTGGCACTTTGTGATAAATAAGTGGGTTTGGGGTTGCAGTTTGGGCATTTGGTCTTTAAAAGGTTTACCATCACTGTTTTAGGTTGTTTCTCTCCTTGATTTTCCTTGTTGGTCATTTCCAAAATAATCTATTTTAATTTTTGGCTTGGCATTTTCTTTCCTTGTACAGATACCATTACCACCTCTCAAAAAAGTTGATATTTCCATGTCACTATATTAGCTTTAGAGGGCTCACTATATCACCTGTACATAGTTAGTTTAAGCTTGCCAACGGCTCCCTTCAAAATGAGATTTTAAAACTTTATGTTCAAGGTAGGATACCAACAAAATCTGAACTAAAAATCAAAGAAGTGTCTAGAAGAAGCATGCTAACACAAGTCACTACTCTGTAAAATCACGAACAGTCCCATTGCCACTATCTGTGGGCTAATATGAAGTTGGGTTAGCTCACAGGTTTAACAGATTACAGATTTAACAGATAACAGATTTAAGAGATTCAACAGATAATCAGAGTTGAAAGGGACTTTGTAGGTCATCTAGTCCAACCCCCTGCCCAAGCGGAAGACCCTACACCATTTCTGACAAATGGCAGTCCAATCTCTTCCTGAAAGTCTCAAGTGATGGCGCTCCCACAACTTCCGAGGGCAAGCTGTTCCATTGGTTGATTGTTCTCACTGTCAGAAAGTTTCTCCTTATTTCCAGGTTAAATCTCTTCCACTCCCTCTCTTTCTCTCTCTCTTCCTCTCTTTCTCTCTCTTTCCCCCCCTCTTCCTCTCCTTCTTCCCCTCTCTTTCCCTCCTTCCCTCTCTCCCCCTCTCTCCCTGGGGGAGGAAGGAACCCCTGAACTGCTGCTGGTGGTGGCACTCTGATGTCTGTCAAACTCGATCACGTCACATGACATATGTATCACAACTTTTTTTGCCTTTGTGGAGCTGAGGCAGGCGTAGCCTGCATGTCACGCATCCAGTCTGCGGGCCCCAGTTTGACACCCCTGAGTTAACCTATAAAGCAGTGGTTCCCAAACCACCACCCCCTTGGTGCTACAAACTCATCCTGTGTACCCCCCACCCAGGGGTGGGATTCAAATTTCTGTGGGCGTGGCCTAATTTGAGGGTGTGGCTTGCTGGTTGTGTGACTGGGTAGGGGTGGCTTGCTGGTCACGTGACTGGCTGGCCGTGGTTTGCTGGTCACATGACCAGGTAGGTGTGGTTTGGTGGGCATGTGACTGGGTGGGCATGGCCAGGTGACTGGCAAACCAAATACAAGTGGTCCTCACTTAATGGCCGTTGTTTAGCAAATGTTCTAATTTATGACTGGCCTCCCCAGAGCTACTTGACCTGTTTTTGGAGTTTTGACAGCCATGCACACACATACACACACACTCCCTTCCAACCCTGCTGGAGTAGGTCATTGGACTAGAATCAGCAAAGCATCTCTGATAGAATCTAATCAGAGATGCTTTGCCGATTCTTGTTGATTTTTATTTGTATCTCTTTATTTTATGTTGCTGAATTGCATTGACATGTGTGTCCCTTCTTGTGCACAGCCCAGAAGCTTTTGTTATTCTTTGCAGCAAAAATTACCGACCTCTGGCTTTGCTCTACTTTTCAAACATGCCGGCACTGCCGCGTTCTTAGGTGCCGGCCCCGCAGGTCCACCCCATTGAGCCCACTGCACCAGAGGGACCTTCCCA